CTGCTCCACCCTGGCCGCCTGCACGTCCTACTCCACCACGGCCACCTGCTCCGCCTGGACCATCCTGGAGTCCGTCCAGTTGCACCCGGTCCACCTTCCCGTCACGGACTCCAGGATGCCCACCCCCCTCCCGTGTTCTGCCTTGTACGGCGCGGGTCGCACCTAGCGGGAGGGGGGAGTTATGTCACATTCACCTCCTTCATCTGTGTCTTCACTACACTTCCCAGCATTCCCGGTCGTCATCATCACCTGCACCTGCACCTGCGCCTCATCATCCTCATCATGATCACCATCACCTGTGTCCCATCACCAGCATGGACTATAAAACACTCACTCTCCCTGCAGTCACGGTCTGGTCTCGTCATTCCATGACTCACAGACTCCCTGACACTTACCTGTCCATCTACCTGAGACGCACTCACTCCATCTGCAACCCGAAGCCATCTCCCCCTATCCTCACCGTCTGCATCTGGAAGAGAAAGAAGGACATTACCATTCAGCTAAGCTTCCCTGATTATCTGTGTTACTCACCATTTGTCTCCATGTCCGATCCTTTCTGCAATAAAAACATTGTAACTTACCTGCCTGTCTGATTCATCTGTGAGCCGTGACACCAGGTCAATAAAGACCTGAGATATGCATTTAAGGGTTAACCTAATGCCCATGCATTCATTTCCGGGTTTTGGCCTACAAAAATGTCATCCCTGCAGTATTATATGCAGAGATTACATATACAGGTTTTGAGTTTTGACCACAAAGTTTTGAGATAACATTGCAAAAAATTATTAAAAAATTGAGTTTTTCCACACCATGACACATAAATTTTTCATGCTGTTTCGTGCACTGAAGCTAGCCATGTTGTCACAGCAGGAAAAACTAAAGCTCAGTTTACTATCGATTACTGATGTTACACTACATTTGACTGTCCAAGAAAGGTGAAGGAGAGGAATCGCTCACAGCATGGATACAAACACTGTGAATTCATCACGGAATTGGTTCATTCATTAGAATTGGTTCACGGCCGACTCTGAGCTGTTAATACAATAGATGGCTTGCCAGCATTTAGACATAAGCAGGAACTTGGTGAGGTCTATTTAAGATTTGTTGCAATAGATATTTTAAGTGTGACATGAATTTTTTTTTTGATATAGTAAACTTTTAAACAATATCTTGATAAATTTATGGCACAACTTGGCAACGGTTGTTGCCAAAGCTTCACTATAAGGTGAACATTTTTCAGATATTACATGATGGCATATTGGTGTCTATTAACAGAAAATGTACAAAACACATAAATGCACATTACTGATAACAAATAGAAGAAACAATGTTATTTATTTCAAATAATATGATATGCCCTTTTACTGTTTTCACCATAAAGTATGTTGAAAAACTATTTTTACTTGCAAAAATTACATATAATGCATTAAACCAGGTACATTTTGTCATGGTAAGATAGATTACATTTAATGAATTAAAGTGCCCCTATTATGCTATTTTAATGCCGTGTGACATTCAGACCAGTGCTCAGCGCCCATCTCTGGAACGCACGCATAAAGAGAAGACCCAGACGAACGACTGCTATTATTGAGGCCATCAACCTCAGCAGCCTCAACATTGTATGAAAACATACTCGCCTTCCCAGCCGAAAAAGACTCGGGCAGCTGCGAAAAATCTTGGCCCTTTGAAGTGACAGCATAGCTGTCACGGTTTGCAGGCTTGCCTGTTCATTCTGTGTGTACTGTTCTGGTCTGATTGCCTATCATCGTCAGCCTTGCTGACGAGCAATCAGATCAGCCGCAGGTGCGGCTCGTTGTTGTGTCCTATATGTAGTCTTGTGTTTGTCATGTTCATTGTCAGATTGTTGTTTCTATGTTCACGTCGTGTCTTGTCATCTCTCTAGCCAGCTCCAGTATTCACCGGATTGTTCTGTCTCCAGTTTCCAGCATTGGATTTTATTTCCAGTTGAGTTCCGTTCTTCATCGTTGCTGTGAGTCTCGAGTGCTTTGGATTTAGAGCCTTGCAGTTCCTGCGTTGCCAAGGACCTGTTGCTGACTTGCACTCTACACAAGTCTTTCTTGTCTTTGTCTTTTGCTATTTACTCTAATAAACTCCCTTTTCATCCACAACTGGATTTTGTGTTTCGTGACGTAACAGAACGATCTGACCCTAGGATGGATCCAGCGGATGTTTCGGAACTAAAGGACATTCTTAACAAGAACAACCTCCGTTTTGATCGTCAGGATGAACAGATTACGGCTACCGGTCGAGCAGTTCAGGCCTTGGTAACGCAGGTCTCGGAACTGACGAGCCAACTACAACCTCTAAGAGCCGAGCCTGCCCAAGCACCCACTGCGCCCAACCCACCACCCGCTGTTCCACCCACTGACCGATCCGCTCGCAGTACGGAGCCTCGTCTGCCACCTCCTGCTGCTTATTCTGGTGAGCCCCAATTATGCCGTGCTTTCTTGACAGTGTTCTCTGTTCTTTGCTCTACAGCAGTCATCATTCCCCACTGAAGAATCCAGAGTAGCGTTCGTGATAACACTGTTATGGCTTGGAGTGAGAGATGTCATGCGTCTTGTTTGGTGTCTGCTTGTTCTTCTGTGTCTTGTTCTGTGTTGCAGGATGAACAGGCGGACCTGTCTAATGTGCCCGGGGAGTACTTCGACCTGAAGGAAGTGTTCAGTAAGTCTCGGGCTGCTTCTCTTCCTCTGCATCGTCCCTATGACTGTGCTATAGACTTATTGCCAGGTACGCCTCCGCCTAAGGGCAGATTATACTCACTTTCCGCACCGGAGAGGGAGGCCATGGAGAAATATATTTCTGATTCTCTAGCAGCCAAACTCATCCACCCTTCCTCTTCCCCTGCAGGGGCGGGGTTCTTCTTTGTGGGCAAGAAGGACGGTTCCCTGCGTCCTTGTCTTGATTATCGAGGGCTGAACAGCATCACGGTAAAGAACACCTATCCTTTGCCGCTGATGTCTTCAGCCTTCGAGAGACTGCAGGGCGCTTCATTGTTCACAAAGTTGGACCTTCGTAATGCCTATCATTTGGTCCGCATCAGGGAGGGGGATGAGTGAAAAACCGCGTTAAACACCCCCAGGGGGCACTTTGAATACTCGGTCATTCCTTTTGGCCTGTCCAACTCCCCTGCGGTTTTCCAGGCACACGTCAACGACGTGCTGAGAGACATGGTTGACCAGTTCATTTATGTCTACCTGGATGACATTTTGATATTTTCCTCATCTCTCCAGGAACATGTTCAGCACGTCAGACGAGTGCTTCAGAGGCTGTTAGACCAGTGTTTCCCAACCCTGCTCCTTGAGGCACACCAACAGTGCGCATTTTGGATCTCTCCCTTTTCTGACCCATATATTTCTGGTCTTGGAGTCTCTACTAACGAGCTGATGAGTTGATTCAGGTGTGATCGATTAAGAAGAGTTAGAAAATGTGTAGTGTTGGTGTGCCTCCAGGAACAGGGTTGGGAAACACCGTGTTAGAGAATGAGCTTTATGTCAAGGCGGAGAAATGCGTTTTTCATGCACAGTCTGTTCCCTTTTTAGGATACATCGTGTCGTCTGAGGGAGTGCGCATGGACCCCGACAAGGTTCAGTCAGTGGTGAATTGGCCAACTCCAGATTCCCGCAAGGCCCTGCAGAGGTTTCTGGGTTTTGCCAATTTCTACCGGGTTTTATTCGCAACTACAGCCAACTAGCCGCGCCTCTGACTGCCTTGACCTTCACCAAGATGACGTTCAGGTGGTCTAGTGCAGCTGAAGCTGCATTTACCAAACTCAATTCCGTCATATTCCCCCATTCTTGTCGCCCCTAATTCCTCCCGTCAGTTTGTGGTGAAGGGCGACGCGTCAGAGGTGGGGGTAGGTGCGGTTCTCTCCCAGCGTTCTTCCGCGGACGGCAAGGTGCATCCGTGCGCTTATCCTTCTCATCATTTGTCACCCGCTGAACGCAATTACGACATTGGTAATAGAGAATTGTTGGCATTCAAGTTAGCCTTGGAGGAGTGGCATCATTGGTTGGAGGGTTCAGGGGTACCCTTCATCGTTTGGACCGATCACAAGAACCTTGAATACATCAGGTCCGCTAAATGAGTTAACTCTAGGCAGGCTCGATGGGCAGTTTTGTTCGGTCGATTTGAATTTTCCATCTCCTACCGTCCAGGTTACAAAAACATCAAGCCTGACGTGTTGTCCCGTATTTTTGACCAATCAGAATGCCCGGTTTCTCCCGAGTCCATCGTACCACAGAGATGTGTGGTTTCAATCCTAACTTGGGAGATCGAATCGAAGGTCCGCATGGCCTTACATGGGGTAGTGCCTCTGGCCGGGTGCCCACCCGGTCGTTTATTCGTGCCAGAGAGATTACGGTCCAACGTTATTCGGTGGCGTCATTTTTCCAAGGTGGCTTGTCATCGGGGAGTCAATCGTACTATTTTTATTATTAAGCAATGGTTCTGGTGGCAAACTATGGCTCGCGACACACGTCGTTTTGTATTGGCCTGCTCGGTCTGTGCCCGTTGTAAACACATAAATGTACAAACACCGTTTCACCAAGGCACAGCGGCCCCCTCAGCAATCAGCACACAAGGAAAAAGAGAAAAAGCACGGACTTACTAATTACGAAGCTTTGATATGGTTGAACAGGTGAAACAGTCACAAATTCCTCTGGAACTCAAACATTAAACTTCAGTTGCACAACTATTTACATAAATATATCCTTCTCAGTATGAGTTATGAAGGAAGAGAACAGCATCGACAGTTTATGATTTCAGCGCGTCCTCCTCTGATTGCGGTGTTGTAACTGAAATAGTGAGCGCGGGCGCACATTCGCAAGACAGTTTTGTAAAATTATATTTGATCAAATAAAAATGATTCATATATCATTTTACAAAACGGTTTTGCGCATGTGCTCCCGCGTGCACCATTTTCTGTCACAACACAGCAATCACTGGAGGACGGTGGCACTTTCTCTATTGATCTTTCTGATGACAGAAATGCCTATATTGTGCATTCATTGTTTATTTTAAAGGTTAACCTATGATGTAAAGGGGCTTGTTTATTTTAAAGGTTAACCTATGATGTAAAGGGGCTTGTTCGTTAATAAAATAAATAGTTTGTTAAAACCACTGTTTGCATTTTGCCTTTATTTTTTACTTTACAATGAACAGAATTCTGCTATGATCTCAGACTAAGGTTACAATTTAACTTTCTGGATTGTTTTGAAAGAGTAATATAGAGTGATGTGTTTATTTCAAAGTGAATTTATTCTTTTCAGATGAAATGATTTGTCAGTTTATTTTACAGTTCTTTAAAGTAGGTAATGCAGAACCCTAATAAGAAAAACTGGTAACTCCCTTAGTGTTGTTTTTCTTTGTAAAAAAGTATTGTATCAACACCAGGGTGGTGTAATACTCGACTCCTAAGGCTGAGAAGAATTCCATGATGAGTGATTTCCATTTTCTTTTAAAGTGTTAGGTCGACACCAGAACAGTGTAGAATTGTAACTCTGCCAGTGTTTGCTACAAAGCTGCACACAGCTCTGCAACAGTGTTGTTGTTCTCTACATTGGTGGTCATATTTTACTCTTAGTGTTCATATTGTAACACTGTGTCAGTGTTGCGAGAGGAAACACTTTTGAAAGTGTTGAGATTTCCAGATTTCAAATTTACTGTTCAAATCCTGAAGGAAAATGACCAGTCCTCATAAAGGTCAGAGATATTTTGACTCATCCTCCAAACCAGCTTCTGCACTGTACAATTTCCAAATTTGCAAACTTCATAAAAGTGATGTTGGTCATCTAAACATGAAATCTGTATGACACACTTTATATAACACGTATAAAAAAATGACACAAAATGTGTATAAATCCTATATGATTTTAATTTGACTAGCATATGATTCAATGTAAGAACTTTAAATGATTTGTATATAAATATCGGGGTGTTTTCTACTAATACCATAAACCATTACATACTTTTGTCATGTACAACTCATATAAGACTTTTTACAGTATTCATATATGACGCAAAAAATCCCCTATAAGTTGTATGTGTGCTAGTTAGTATGAAAGGGGCCATAATCGATCTGATTTTATAAAGGACATGTATTGGTCTTACATGAAACGCATAAGGTAATTCTGGCCAATGGGATAGTTCACTTTGAAATAAATTTTTGGTATGTTTTAGCTTACCTCAAGGGCATCCAAGATGTAGGTGTCTTTGTTTCCGCAGTAGTTTCAATTTTGATATTTTTAGGTCAAACCGTTCTTGTCTGTCAGTCATATAATGCAGGTCTATGGTCACCACCTCAAAGAGCATGCACAGAGAAGTCCAAATTAAACATGATTTAAAGGTGCTATATGTATTTTTTAGCGGCCTCTATCGGTGATGTTTCAGATTGCAACCAATTTTTACAAGAGCGCTCGTGCTCTTGCCCGTGCTCGAACACAAGAACGAGCACTCATGGTACCGGCCACACTGAGACTTTCAACACACCGGAGAAAGCATCACACAACATGCTGGAAATTCATGTAAACTCCCACTGCAACATTACAATAATAGGCTACTTTTATCAGCTTGACGTTGAACTAATGCTCCTTGCTCGTAACATGATAACGTTACATTTGTGGTGTTATCTAGCATAATGCATTTCACTAACTATTCGTGTATCTTTCATAATCAGCAATGTCAACATAGGTGAATGTATAATATGATAACGAAAACGGTTAGTAAACTAGACTGAACAATTTCAGTGTAACAGTAAGATCGTAGGAAGTAACATTACTGTACTGAATGTGTCTGGAAATGTGTATTATAAACAAAATGATAGTAGTGGGATGAGTGACGTTAGACAGTAGATCTAGTAGCCTACATAAAATAAAAGTTACATCCTAAAGCACCTATTTTTTGTTATCCTGGAACAGTCTTTTGTATTCATTTCATATCTCATGTATGTTGTAGTTTACCTTGCCATTTCATTACAGTTTACCATTATTTCAGCATATCTGAAAACTTGTAATTTATCACAGTAAAAATAGCGGAGGTCTCTCCGTAATTCAAACGCTCTCCGTGTTTTCGTCCTATGTCGATACGATTGACGTTTGGCCTGACGAGCTTCAGCAGATACATTTTTGTTTTGTTTTTTATATTTATGTGGAGTTTGTGTTGGAGTCTGTGTTGTGGAGGCAGGTCGTTTTTTGGTGTTATCATCAGACTCCATGTCGTCAGCTGCAGTGCCGTCGCATAGACTGTATATAAAAAGGAGAGAGGCTCGGGAGCGCGCGTGTACGTCACATCCGAAGGATTTCGCAGAAAATCCGACCCGGAGACTTCACATAGAAATAGGAATACTGGCCTTCAGAGATAATAGCAAAACCCGACAAGTTGATCGTTGTAATGTGTGATTACAACCCCCTCACACACAGGCAATAAAAAAAGGATTCATTTTAGAAGAAAAGTTATATATAGCACCTTTAATGACTCGTAAATGTAAGTACACATTGATGGCCTAAGACACGAAACGTCTCGGGTTACGACTGTAACCCTTGTTCCCCGAGAAGGGAACGAGACACTGCGTCATCGTATGACACTTTGGGAACGCCCTTAGCGTAACGCATCTGAAGCATGAATGAAATCTGTCCAATCCTGATTGGTGCTGCGTCATGACGTAGTAGATGACGGCATAACCGGAAGATACAAAGGTATGCTGGCATATACAAACACTAGCTCTTTTGCGATGAAGCTAGCGCTCTGAACGTGATAGGTGTGGCGACGAGACGCAGTGTCTCGTTCCCTTCTCGGGGAACAAGGGTTACTTAGACTTAGACTTAGACTTATCTTTATCAATCCTTTTAGGAAGACTCCCGCAAGGAAATTGAAAAGTCCAGCATCAGTTTTAGCAAAGGAAAAAGAGAGTAGCAGAGAAAAGGAGAAAAAGACAATACAACAGTACAATAATAATAATAACATTAATCAAAATATCAACAACCATAAATTATTTTAAAAATTGTCAATGTTAAGTCCACTGTTATAGTGATTTAGTGACCAGGTATAATGTAAGTCCAGGTGTGTATGTATGTGTGTATGTATGTGTACATACATTCGTAACCAGTCGTAACTCCAGACATACAGTCGTAACCCGAGACGTTCCCCTTCGAGGGAACTCGAACTGCGTCATCGTATGACACTTTGGGAACGAAATACCCACTATGCCACACCGTAATCACGCCCGCCCCTAGTGTGAAGCTGGAAGACCAGGCACACTTAGGATGCGAGCATTAGTTGCAGACTGTAAATACGTATGAAGCTGTGCGGGGTGGCCCACCCGGCCGCCTCGCAGATCTCCTGAAGCGAGACGCCAGAAAGGAGGGCCACCGAGGAGGCCATGCTCCTGGTGGAATGTGCCCTCATGGCCATAGGTGAAGGCAAATTGTGCACCTGATAAGCTGTGGCTATAGCCTGGACAATCCAATTACTGATTGTCTGTTTAGATGCAGGCAGCCCTTTCTTGGGTGAACCAAAGCACACAAACAACTGGTCTGACTTCCTCCACTGAGAAGACTTCTCCAAGTAAACCCTTAGGGCTCTGACTGGGCAGAGCAGGTGAAGTCTCCCCTCTTCCGCCGTCCCATGAGGTGGAGGATGGAAGGCCTGAAGAATCACTGACCGTGCCGCACTAGACGGCACCTTGGGCACATAGCCCGGTCTAGGATGTAAGATGACCTTAACTCCGCCAGGGGCAAACTCCAGGCAAGTTGGCGATATAGCCAAGGCCTGGAGATCCCCCACTCTCCTCAGAGAAGTGATGGCAAGGAGAAAGGCCACCTTGAAGGTCAGGTTCTTTGCCTCAGCCGACTCCAGTGGTTCAAAGGGGGCCTCAGCCAACCCTTCAAGAACCACCGCCAGGTCCCAAGTTGGGACTCTGGAGCGAGCCGCAGGCCTAATCCTCCGAGCCCCACGGAGGAAACGTACAACCATATGGTGCCTTCCCAAAGGCCCAGCACCTATAGGTGAGTGGAAAGCCGCAATGGCAGCCACATACACCTTAAGAGTGGATGGGGAAAGATCGGCGGAGAAACGATCTTGGAGGAACTCCAGCACTGAAGCAACTGGGCAGTTAACTGGGTCCACCTCACGCTCTCTACACCAAGTGGAAAACACATTCCACTTTAGGCTGTACAGTCTCCTAGTGGAAGGAGCCCTGGAGCTAAGTAGGGTCTCGACAACACCTGCTGACAGGCCAGCCTCTAGGTACCGAGCCCCCTCAGGGGCCAGACCCAGAGGTTCCACAGCTCTGGCCGGGGGTGAAATATTGTGCCCCCTGCTTGAGACAGCAGATCCCTTCTCAGAGGGACCTGCCACGGGAGGCCGTCTAGCAGTGCTACAATGTCCGAGAACCATATCCGGGTCGGCCAGCGGGGTGCTACTAAAAGTAGGCTGATCCCTTCCCGGCGGACCCGCTCCAAGACTCCCGGGAGCAGAGCGATCGGGGGAAATGAGTACAGACGCAGCCTCGGCCACGTCTGTGTCATAGCGTCCAGCCCCAACGGAGCTGGATACCTGAGAGAGAACCACAGTGGACAGTGGGACGTCTCTCGAGACGCGAAAAGATCCACTTCCACTGGGCCGAATCTCACGCACATGGCCTCCACCACCTCGGGGTGGAGTCGCCACTCCCCGGGCCTCAGCCCCTGCCTCGACAGGATGTCTGCTCCCTGATTTTGATCCCCAGGGACATACATCGCTCTGAGAGACGACAGTTTCCCCTGGGACCACAGAAGGATCTGGTGTGCCAGTCTGCATAGAGGGCGCAACCTCAGACCCCCCTGGTGATTCAGATACGCGACTACGGACATGTTGTCCGAGCGTATCAGGACATGGTGGCCGCAGAGGTCCGGGAAAAAACTCCTCAGAGCTTTGTAGACCGCCAGCATTTCCAGGCAATTGATGTGCCAGGAAGAGTGCCGGGTCTCCCACAGACCTCTCGCAAAGCGGCCGTCCATGACCGCGCCCCAACCAGTGAGGGAGGTATCTGTTGAAACGGCTTTCCGGCAACATGATGCTCCCAGCACCGGTCCCTGGGACAGGAACCAAGGTTTCCTCCATATGACGAGGGAACGAAGGCATCTGC